GGATATGTTCCTGTCGCGCATCTGCACCTACCTCGCCAAACCCATCTCCTCCTCCCCTCAGTTCGGCCCCTCCTTGGCCATCTCCATCCTGTCCACCATCTTCAACACGCTTGCTCCCTCCGACTCCAGCCGCTACCACGTTCTCCTGGCTACCGTCGCCGTCATCCGCCAGTCCAGCTCGTCCATTGCCTTTGACGCCCTCAAGTCCCAGCTGGCCACCCAGCTGCCCGGCTGGCTCGCCGCCTGGGAGCTGGACGCCGACGAGGCCCAGCGCCTGCACCTCGCCATTGCCGATGCCGCCCAGGCGTCCGGTGACCCCGAGTTGGCTCAAACCCACGTCGTCCAGGCCCTGCAGACCATCCCTGCTGCCAATGCCAGCGCCCCCGAGGCCCGCGATCTGGCCGTCCGCGCCCTGACCTCCGCTCTCACCCACCCGGCTGTCTTCGACTTCACCCCGCTGACTGCCTCCGACGCCGTCCAGGCCCTCCGGTCCAGCGACAGCACCCTCTTTGAGCTGCTCGAGATCTTCACCGCCGATACCCTCGACGCCTACGAGGCCTTTGTCTCCGCTACCCCTCTGGCCAGCATCTCCGGCGGCGTGCTGGCTGATGCCGGCGAGGCCCTGCAGAACAAGATGCGCCTGCTCACTCTGGCCTCCCTGGCCGCTTCTACCCCGTCCCGCTCCCTTCCCTACGCCACCATTGCCACGGCCCTCCGCGTGGAGCCCACCGACGTCGAGAAGTGGGTTATTGACACCATCCGCGCCGGCCTCGTCGAGGGTAAGCTGTCGCAGCTGCGCTCCGAGTTCCTGGTCCACCGGGCCACCTACCGTGTCTTTGGTGAGAAGCAGTGGGCCGAGGTGCAGGGTCGCCTGATGGTCTGGCGCCGCAGCCTGGAGAACGTGCTGGGTGTTGTTCGCAGCGAGCGGGAGCGCTTTGTTCGCGAGGGGCTGCAGGCGGCCCAGGCTGCCGAGGAGGCTGCCCAGGGCAAGGGTAACGACAAGAAGGGTGGTGACCGTCGCCGTCACAACAACAACAACCAGAACCAGAACCAGCAGCAGCAGCAGCAGCAACAGCAGCAGCAAGCACCTTCGGCGCCCGCCGCTGCCCCGGAGGCTGTTGCCGTGGAGTAAAGGACTGATTACTGTTCGGTTGAATGATTGATTGATACACAGAGAAGCATACACATTGGGATGAATGAATAAAAAAGTTATCTGTGTGTTGTTGTGAGTTGTGGGCTTGGAAGGTGTTCTTTCTATGTTAATGTTCTGCTGTGTCTACATTTTTTATCCCCCTTTCCCTTTATTTCCATCTCATGGGTTCCAATTTCCTTTTCCTTTTTCTTTTATTTATCATGGTAGCTATTGGATTCTAGACAGGTTTATATCCACATTTCATCATGAGAAGGTGGGGGGAAAAACCTGACTGACAATGATACGAGTTATGCCGAGTGTGTAACTGAGTTTTTTATGTATATGCATCAAGTACTACACTATACATAGACCATTGGAGATACTGCAGCGAGGGTTGTTTACTCGTATGATATGAGCATATACGCCACTAGTATCACGATGTAAATGTATTCATCAATATGGCTCTCACGTAAGTACCATCTATCCATCTATGTACCACCCAACAAACACATGATATAATATTTTCAAAACCAGAACCAACCTTACAAAGGATTAATGCCCTTACTCTTGAATCCCTCGCGAATGCGCTCATACACCTCTTCGACCGACCCCGTCGCCGTCACCGAAACAACCTTATTCTGCTCCTCAAATGCCTTGACAACAGGCATACTAGTCTCCACAAACGTACGGAACCTCTTCCGGATACTCTCAGCATTATCATCATCTCTACCGGACGTCTCGCCCCGCTTCAACAACCGTGTCTCCATCACCTCCTCGGGACAATCCAAGAACAGCGTCATCTCCGACGGGCACACAGTATCCTCGAAGAACACGGCCTGGTCGAGTTTGCGCGGGAACCCATCAATGAGGAAGCGGGGCTTGGGGCCACCCTCTTGCTGTTTCTTGCCGGAGGCCAAGGCGTCCGCCATAGCGTTGGACAGCAATGCGACGGTGATTTCCATGGGTACGATCTTGCCTTCGCGGATGTAGGTCTTGATGAGGTCGCCGTATTGGCTGCCTTCGCGGACTTGTTCGGCGCGCAGGAGGTCGCCGGCGCTCAGGTGGGTGAAGCCGTAGTCGCGGACAAGGTTGCTGGATTGTGTGCCTTTGCCGCTGCCGGGGCCGCCGAGGATGAAGACGACGGTGATGTCGGTGGGGGAGAAGCGGGGTTGAGTGGTCATTTTGGTGGTGGTGGTGGTGGTTGTGGTAGTGGTTGGTTGGTTTGTTTTGTGGGATCAGATTCTGGAGAGGGAGGGAGGTGAGGTGATCAGTTTCTTTGTAAGATTGTTTATTTGTTTGTTGGTGGTGGGAATGAGGTTGTTATTGTTTGGAGGGGAGAAGAAGGGTGGGTTGGTGTGGATTAAGAGAGAAAGAGGGACATACAGTTGGAACCGGGCTTGGGTTTGTGCACGCCGGTGCGGGATTTCACAAGTAAGACGTAGGAACCGGTGCCCAGGGCGAAGAGGGCAACAAAAGGGAGGACTTTGAAGTTGGAGCGGCTGTATTGGGTGGGGTTGTTGGAGGATTGAGAGGAAGAAGAAGAGGAGGAGGAAGAGGAGGAGGGAGAGAAGAGAGAAGAGGAGGACGAATAGGGGCGATGGAGAGACAGTCGGAGATGTCGGTGGGGGGCCACCACGGGCGGCAGTGTAGCTCCTCGCAGTAACTTGATAGACATTGGAGGGTTGGGGAAGGTCTGGGGGGTGAGGATAAAGTATCAAGGAGAATTGAAGGGGAATTGAGAATAGTCCCAGATTGAGCTACAAAGCTGCAGACTTACAAGGATGCAATGCAGAAGAGAACCACCAGATGAAAGAAGAGGAAAGAAAAGCAGGAAAAGAAGTTGAGGTTCATCTCGCACTCGCTGCTTTGGGACTAGCGCGGATGGCCTGATCTATACAATCTTGAGTGTTACTGTGTATAGCTTCATCTTCTCCTCTCTCTCTCTCTCCCTCTCTCTCTCACTTATTCCCTGTTTTACTCCATGTGCAGTTTCTTTGCTGCTATTGGTCGCTGTCTTGTGACGGTTCATCAAGGCTGTGGAATGATAGGATACTATACGTTTACCTCTTGACAACTCTTGCCAATATTCATCACCTCAATCTACACATCTACAGCATCTCATCAAGTGAACAATCTCTAGCTGCCACACTCTCTCAAGTGAACAGTGACTCGCTGGCACTACTTATTTTACATTATTCTTGCATTTCTAACAATCATATCCCTTTGTCTTCTGGCTACCCCATTCATCCTAATATCCTCGGCATCTCATAGCTTCTTCCCTGCTCCGTGCAGTCTCCCCCAATAAGATGTTTCATCCTCACCCCCATGCTCCAAGAAACAATCGTGCGCATGCAAGAGCACCCAGAGCGCTCAGAGGTCACTTCCAAGCAGCTATGCATACACAGCCTCTTGTACATCCTCAGCCTTCGTCCCGAGGCCAACAGCACCATCCTTCGAATGTGGGTGATCTCTCCCAACGTACAATGCACATACTAACACACCTAGTCCCGTGGGAGACAGTCACATACCCACCGAGGGCAGAGAGGTCATCCTAGAGGACAAGTACAGACAGCCAACTTTCAGCCATCACAAGGAAAGTCAACTAGTAACGGAGCTCCCGGCCGCAGTCGTTCCAACTACAGAGGAAGCAGATCTAGGAAGAACTTCCCTACCAATTCTAGATATCCAGTCATTAAACAGCATGTAATAATGTCCACAGCTCCATGTTTCATTCTCCCGCGCCAATCTCCCGGTTCGGCTGAAGAGAAGGCAGCAGCACAGATACCCTCAACGTTCCAGCGACTCCCACCCGAGATTCGAAGCCAAATTTATGGTTACATATTTGAACCTCACCGTGTTGAGCTCATACGAAGACGCGAGAAAGACCCGGCGAAGCACCCAAAAAGAGTGTACTACCGCCTGTATCATAATCAGCTTCGATCGCGCCATCCCATCACACAGCAAATCCAGGACCCTTATTTGAAAGGCCAACACCCTGTGCCTATTGGGCTGGCTTTTACATGCCGCAGTATTTACTGCGAAACCCTTTGGTGGCTGTACTCAACTACCCAATTTGTCTTCACCTCGACGAAGACTATGAACCGCTTCTTTAACATCATCCCCTCTGAAGTACAGCCTACCATACGGCACGTAGAGATTAACCAAGAAATGCATAGTGAACCCAGCCTAACTGAGCACCGTATTCACAAGGTTCGAAGTGACTGGGCTTTCACAATGGCATGCGAGAACTTGGTCAAGTGCTGTTCAGGACTGCGAGTCCTGTACATCTACTTCCGCATCCGTGATTGGCCCATGAACCTCGAGATCGGCGAGACATGGTCATTGCCAATGATGGCCTTTGCGGAGTACAAAGGTGGCTTGGACATCGTGAACATCAACCTCGACATGCCGAGGTTTGGGCTACAGAAGTTGAAAAACATGGCCAAAACCCTCGAAAAGAGGTTCATGAAACCTAGGGCGTTCCAGGTCAGGGAAGATGAGCAAATGGCCAGGGAATTAAGCTGCTCTTTCATGGAATTGCAGGTATATGGAACTAACTGATATCCCTTTTTCATTCATGTTCCTGGTCCCTTTGATGGAGAAGATAAATATCATTCTCATATGTTCCGGGGGCGGGGAAAGGATTGATCGTTGATATCTATTTCTTTTCTCATCTTTGCTTTCTTTGTGTTATTCCTTAACCGTTTTAAGAGATGACTCCGATTTATTTCTATGATACGTCACATTTCTCAATAATATAGCAGAGACAAATACGAGATACCACTTTGTTGGGCCAAATCAAAGATACTGGCTGTCTATTTATGCAAGTCCAATTATATGTAGTCAATATGTACGTCAGTCATCAAGGGGGGGAATATACGGTACAAAAGTGGTGGGTGTCTAGACATGCATGAACGCCCGCGATATGCAAAAAGAAAATGACCCCTCTTCCTTCGATTCTTTTTCCTTCAATGCCCTTGGTTTCTTCGCATGCAACCCAGCGAGCAACCCCCCAAGTCTTGCTCGCACTCATATCGTCTTCTATTCCCGACGTGCTTCTCTCCTCGCTCTCTCTCTCTTTTACTCCCTGGACCGATCAACTTCGGTCAAGGACTGGCCCTCCTCAGACGGAACTTCGTGGTATGCCTGCATACGACGACGACGGAGGAACCAATAACCGCCCGCTAGGACCCCGCCCGCGGAGCAGATGACCAGAACAGAAATCAACAAGCCACCGACTCCGTGAATGACCTCGTACGCCTTCTCTACGGCCATGGCTGCTTGCTTAGCCTCGGCATTGGGGTCCTCCTCTTCCACATCTTCCTCCACCTCGGCCTTCTTGGGGCCGTACAGAATTGTCGGGTCATCGGAGGTAGGCTTCGTGTCGCCCTGGAAGCCGGCCAGGCGCCAGTTCTGTGGGGTCTCGGTGCGGTGGATGGGAGAGGTGCCGAGGACGTTGCTGTCTTTGTCAACGGCCTCGACAGAGATCCAGTCGAGGTAGCCGTCTGCGATGTACATGGTCTCGAAGTCGAACTTGGTCGTGTTGCCGATCAAGACGGGGATGCCGTGGCGGTCGGCTCGTGCGTAGAAGTTCCAGGTGGCGATGTCGGTGGCACCGTTCCAGCTGACGTGAAAGATCGTCGCCAGGTCGGTTTCGTCGGTACCGTAGACGGAGGCAACCACATCTGGAGGAGTGCTGGGGCGGCCGACGAAGGGAAACTTGTACGAGCGGTAGGTCGAGAAACGGGTGGATGCGAAGCGGCCTTGCATGAGGACCTTGCCGTCGGGCGAGTGCTCGCTCTGCATGCCCTGTTCACTCCAACCCACGAAGACGTTTCCGTTCGGGAGAGTCTGGACGCTACCGCGGAGCCGGGTCAGGCCGTTGTCTGGGCGTTTGTAGTGCTTGAGCAGGCGCGCGGTCATGGGGGTCGTCGTGGTGTCGACCTGCACGAACATCGCTGCGGATGTCTCTTCCTCGTTTTCGGCCTCATCAGAGGCATTGTTCAAGAAGGAGACAATAGCGTGGGTGGCGTTGGACTCGACGAAACGTGCATGGTGTTGCTTGGAGAAGGTGAAGTCCTGAACGAAGTCGGAGTACTTCCCACCAAGGCGCCATTTGATCTGGCCATCCTCGCCGGAGATCAGGTAGAGGGTGCTCGTGAATCGCGCAGACAAGAGGTAGTCTCCTGTCGAGCTCTTGTCAATGGAGTTCACGTGGACATAATCCCAGCCGGGTTGGGAAGCGGGCGGCGAGCGAGAATCGACTTTCACGGACTCGTGGATGGGGATGTAGCCGAGAGAAGACCATTCGTAGAGGACATCGCCGGTAGCCGTGTCCAGCTCGACGAAGCCACCAGCAACAATCCAGCCGTACTCGTTGGGACGACCGAGGTCTCCCAGGTCGACGTACTCGTTGCGGTATGCGCAGGCCAAAGCAGTCTTTCCACCAGGAAGGACGTTGAACTCATGCATGTTAAATGCTGAGAGATCGTTGGTCACCGGCACAACACTCTCGACCTCATAGTTCTGGTCGAGAATGTATCCGTATCCTTTGTCCCTCCCGCCGTCCTGGTAGCCATGCTGGAGGATGAAGGACAGATGAGATTTGTCGTCGATATTGTTGATGGCTTTGAAATCGAAAATGTTGCGGTTGTCGAACATGCAAGATCCGGCCCAAACAAGAGTCTACGTATGGCCGGTTAGTAAGCTACTTACTCCTTTCAGGGATCTCACTCATTATTGAGGGACATCCCTTTCCTCACGAAAGGGGTAAATGAATTTCTGGGATAAGGAATGAGAAAACGTACGCCATCTGCATCATAGATGTAGGGTCCAACTTGGCAAGGCTTCCATTGCTTCGTGGGAGCTTCTGGGTCAATCACGCCATATGGCGCAACGAACCAGTAGCCTGGGCTAACCGATTCGCGATCGTAGTATGCAACATTAAACTTCAACGCTCTCACTTCCGGTAGCTGGCTTCTCGTCAGCAAGATCATTTATATACGCTGGAAGTTCTCCTACCGTCACAAAGGACATCAAATCATCGTCCGCCTCCGCCTCCGCGACAATCCCGCGAAAAGAAAGAAACAACAGAACCCAGAAGAACAGCATTTTTTGAAGGAGTGGCTAGGAGAGGAAGAGTTCCTCCCCTAAGAAAAAAAAAGATGTGACGATTAGCTAGGGAAAAGGGCAACGATTAGCGGAAAGGAAGGAAGGAGGACAGCGGGAGACGACCGGGTCATTAAGACAGACGGTCGCTGTCTGTCAAGCAGCCAAGTGGACGTCGGTCGAGGGTATCTATCCGAAAGATCTCCTCCCTGGCGCGCAGGGAATAGTAGTCAAGTATGGAGGTGCCCCCTGCAAGCACACCCCATCCACGACACCGTCGAAACGGAATCCCATGAGCCAGCACAAATCGGGAGAGGCTAAAACTCCGCAAAGCATTACGGAATCTCCATAATTTGGGTCGGGCACGGCCAGTGACAACGTAAGTGCTGATACGGCCGCTGACGATCAGACGAGGCGGACACTCTTGGCAGCGTTTCGGACAGTGGAGCTGCGGGCCACGCTGCGAACTTCACCAGCGCAGGAGACGCTCTGATTGCTGGATAAGGTGCAGCCGGCACTCGCCCAGATTCGTGGACGGGTCATCCCATGATCCCACTGGGTGGCCACGCCAAATGAGCGACTCGACTGGCAATTCTACGCTGGAGGTCTGAATATATCGAATCCTCTGAACCGCCACCCCAAAAACCCTCTTGTCACCTGTACGTGGAAGGGAGGGATGCTGGCGTATGTGAGTATGTATGGGAGAAGCAGCGCCACTAAACCCGAGTCGATCGGACCTCGGGCATGGGACATTAAACTCTTTTCCACCCCGAGTTTACCCCTTCAGGAGATCTAGACCGACTCAGTCAGCGAGTTGTGTGGCTGAATGGACTATTGGGAGACCCGGTTGTCTGATTCTACCCGCAAAATCAGTTGTCAATTGGCGACGGTCCACGTACTCGCAGTTTCTTCCCACGGACTTGGCGCACTAAGCGAAATTGGCCGTCCAAGGACATACTTTTCTGGAAAGAGTTCTATGGTGAGTCTCCATGCTGGTTACCCACAACCACGAGCGAACCGTGCCGCCAGGGGAGAAAATTCCTGGCGGATTGGCGAATGAGAGAAACATGCCATTCCGGTGTCGGTGTCATTTGCCAGTTCAGCGTTCTTAGACCCATGGACGGCCTCAGGCTAGCCGCGGACTCCATCCAGGAAAAGCGATCGACAGTCCATAGATATAGGCGCTCTTTTCCATCGTCCCAGACAGATTATCTTAGTGATTATCAAGGATACGCTTGCTTTGATCAGCGGGTCTTCTCCGTTAGCACTGGTGGTGGTGAGCTGAGACTTGCTCCGTAGCTTGGGCGATCTGGTATGATGGTATGCGTGGTGCAAGGGGGGTGAAAAGAGGATTCGGACGAAAAATGAGTCTCTATTTTTCATTTCCCGAATCTCAGATGGACCCCTGGATTGGGATACTGTGGTATACTGAGAGGTCACGATGCACAATTTTCCGGGGTAGCCCAACAAGCTGCAATGGAATACGGCGAAAGATAAGGGTCGCTTGAATGGCGAGGCGAGGAGGTGTGCAATTGAAAACCACCTGACAGGCCACGTGATGGGTATACAATCCTTGAATAGGCTTTCATCCTGCCATCCATTTTAACTTGGCTGCTATCAACTCCTGTTCGTTACACGATCTAGGACGTGCAAAGTATCCGATCTGCCAGACGATGTCAAATAAGTTTGGCTCTACGACCATATCATCTCTGCAAACAGTAGTAAAATGCGGAAAATTCCTATTCCCTGTTTTCTGTCTGGGTCAGGCGGTTTCGGCTGTGTGTGGACTACGTATACACTGAACGACAGTTCCGCCGATTCCGTTGCGGTGGGTTGATCTCTGCCAATACTACACTTCGGGTGAGGGAGACGATGACGGTTGCCATTCTGGTCTCCCGCTGGAACTGATCCACTTGTTCAAGACTTCCGTGAAACGAATGCATTAGCCTATAAGGTCAAGCTCATCTCGAGCCACAGGGATCCCCTTCTGGGAAGTGATCGTTGGCCTGCGCAAAGAGTGCTTGGCTGTAGCCAAGTATAAGCCTAAATACAGATGAGTACGTATGGCGTGCAGTGACCACCTATATGCTTAAAACTGCTCATCCTTCAAGTCCCAAATTTCACCCCCTACTCCGGGCGCTGAAGCGGCATAGCCTAAGATATCGGGTTCCGCGAATGTCTTCGGCCTATACCTCAGGGTTTCCGACAGAGATACTAGTAAAAGTCCTTCTGTGCCTAGCAAGTCGTCCAGACCGAGCTGTGGGGGAATTGATTGCTGACACACCGTGGTGACGTTGACTCGCGAAGGTCTTCCGGGCCCATCATGAGTTAGCGCGTCGATGGTAAGCGCCCATGCAAGTGGGTTGTATAGCACACCTCTATGCGTGTACATTCCCCCTGCGGGCTCGTGGGCACAAATGGACTGTAGGTGATTATTGGACACACCAACTCCACGTGCATCCTGGAGGATCGCGGATGCCTGGTCTCCATACATCGGCTGCACAATTTCGTCAAAGGAAGAATAGATGGTCGTTGTGTGAACATACGCCGACTCACCCCCGAATCCTCTCAGGGTGCGAACGAACTTAGCGTCCCATCCCTGCTGCCACAGTGCGGGGGTGCACATTATCCCCGCAAGCCAGGGGCACACCAGCCTGGTTTCAATAGTCCCTCGGAAATCCGGGCTTATTGCAATGAAATCCTCCACTGAGTCCCGGGTGGATGGCCAATACTTGAGGGCCCACTGTGTGTTTAATCCGCCCTGGGACCAAGAGATGACGTTAACCTTGGACCGGTAGAGACTGGATATGTAGTTAATGGAATAAGCGATGTATTCGGCGGTAACCTGGACATCTCCCAACGAGGCCTGGGGGATATTGACCCAAGACACATCAATCTCCGGGATAGCGTTGCCCAACTTCCCAAAATTATAATAAAAAGACGTTCCAGCAGGTGCGGCTGTTCCTGGAACCAAAATCACTGGCTTCCTACCACTGTTGCTTTCCCCTGAAAAGAGATTTGGCATGTGGATAGCCTCTCTAAGAGCTGCCTCTGGGATGGAATACGGTGCATCTTCGGTTGCTTTAGACGGGTATATACTCCCGCTTTTGAGGTCAGGGTTTAGGTTATGAGCCGAGTTGATTTTGGCGTCGAGATAACCATTCAAAAAGGCGAGGATCTTGGGAGGAACTAGGCCGGAGGCCACTATGTCTTTTGCAAGATCCAGCATTGTCGAGCTGCTCTTCTTGGTGAATATGGCCTCGATCTTTTTCAATGCCGCTTGCAACTGCTCATTTCCGGGATGTTGCAAATTTTCGTTTGTTGCAAGACCTAACATAATATCCGAAGCCACAGATGATACTCTCCTATCCACCATGGGATCTTTGACCGCATTCGATAAAACTGAAACAAGATCATGGTCCGAGATTGGCACATGGGAGGGCTGTTGGGGAATTGAAATGCAGAGACATACGGGGCTCAAGAACACTCCATAAAGGAGACGTCTAGTTAGGGCAGACAGCCGCATGTTATGCAGGTTCAGTGTGCACGATGGAGAGTCGAGAAGTGGACCCAGGGTGAATGTGCTTCCCGAGGAAAGAAAATGCTGATGGATATAGCCAGCGAAGCGTGCCTCGTATCTAACAGCACAGAATATTCCGGATCTTCTCGACATGCCTCGGTCTCATGTACTGCTTACTCCTTCGTCATTGAATTGCGGTCTTGACCTGGAGAGGGCCAAGATCCAGTCGCAGTCTGAACATCAGAATTGCAAGCCCATGGTTACCGGACAATGGAGCGATTGGATGCGTCCTGCTCAGCATAGTTGCATCATCACTCAAGGGTCAGCATTTTGTCTGACCTTCGTATGGCCGGTCACCCAGTCCGCGGGCCATCCGAGAGCTATCGGGAAACAAAGACAACGTTTATGCTCTGCCACTAACTCCGAGTCTGCGCAAGTCATTCTCAATCGACAGAAGAGGTGTAGAGTATGAAGCTAATCAGCAGGTATCTGTCATACAATTGGTCCAAAGCACAACGTCTGCAGCGGTTCACTTGATCTCTCCGTCGCCACTCCATTCCCACTCGGAGGGTATCAGTGATGGGCGACGGGACCGCGAATATGACGGGTCAAATGACCATGTCGCGATGTATGAACAGCACAGAGGCTTCTTGACCAAGTACTTCGGTAGTAGTGGCTGGCTGATGCTAATATTCCATTGCTCTAAGGCCTTTAGAGGACCAAGCTTGGAGGAAGCAGGTGTTTGAGAAAGGATAGAAGAAGAGATTGAAATTCCAATCAGCGCCAATGTTCCCGGGATATACAATGCCTACGGGGGAACCAAAGCACTGTAACAGTACCCCAGGCTTGAGTCATCTGCATTGCAGTGCAGTCCGGGGAAGACCACAAGTGCAACCACCACAAGCCAACACGCGGTTGCCATCACCCCAGTATTTTTAAATATCTTTTGACCCACTGGTGTTTGATTTATGAGAAAGCCCTCATTATCTCACAAATGCCTCAGACCTCCGCGGCTCCGCCCCGATGGTGTCTTCCCACTTCATCCCGTCTTATCCAGAGTCCTCGGATTATGTGCTACACGATGCCCATGCTGATCGTGAAAGATGACCTTGAGGGGAGGGGGAAAATAGCCGTCAGCCGCATGTGCTCGATGCCTCGAATCTGGTCTGCGGGGTCTTGCTTACTTTGGGTGGGTTGGCTACCTCTTCTTCATGTGCTCCGGCATCGTCTGTGACGACCTTGTCAACCTGGGTTGGTTCAGTCAGCCGCGTCCGAAGACTTATTACTGAGTTGCGAAGCTAAGCCAAGCTGCTCAAGAGAAATGACTCCGAGATGGGGAATTGTAGGCTTACTTCTCCTTCGTGGGATCCTCCACGATACTTTGTATACACGTAGTCTCCTTCGTTGATTTGTTTTCCAGACTTGTCCTGGACTCTTTCCGACATGACGCGAGAGTAATGTCAAATTCTTAAAGCAATATTCCAATTACTAGGCTGCTCGAGAAATACGGTGCAACTGTCAAAAAAGAAGTAAAGCATAGAAATGTTTTAGTAGAGTACAGGAGGGGCTGATTTCATACTGTGTGATGTCATGATGAGGCAGGAACGAACTCCCTCCCGTTGCGACAAGAAACCTACTATACTTCAAACTACACAACCATCAAATATCATTCTATAAATGGTTGCTTCCAATCCCTCATCTAGTTTCAGTCCACGAGCACAGATTTATATTGGGGGATCGACCTCGGTACGGTCCTATGCCATAGCTAAGACCACCCTTGTCATCTACATCATAAACATTATATCACCGATCAACAGCAGTAAGTTGGAGAATCTTCTGGAGTCATTGATTTCCTTTTGATATAGATAGTAGTATGCGCGCTTCTCGAATAGTCAAAAAATAGTAGCTCAACACGATACTATCCTATACAGAGAGCTAGGACACCGCATATCAATTCCATAAGGAATATATACCAGTATTCATATATAGGTTTAATGAGATTTCCTTACCCAGAATATATGCTCATGCACTATGGCGTTATTATGGAATATGAATCTATCACAAACTACACAGGGACAAGTAGAGAGGAAACCGAAGAGAGTAACCACGTCACTACGAGCTGGCATTTCTACATGAACTCGCCCATGTTCCCCCTCTCCCAACAGAAAAAGAAAGTAAGCGCGGATACCGAGCCATCGTCACACAGTGGTAGTCATGCAAGAAGGGGAGTGGATGATGGTGGTAGCGCAAGGCAAAATCGTCGGGTGGACGAAGTAACTGAGCACGACAGTCTCATTGAATGCATAATATAAGTCCGACATGGTGTGAATAGTATAATTGCTATGATGATAATGATGATAATGATGATGGTGCTGAGTGGTTTCGCCATCTCTTGCTGGTCTTACAATGTTGCAATCAGTAGTGTGTTCCCCTCCCTCCTCCTACCTCCCGGATGACCCGGACTAGTACTTGGACTTGGCTCAGGCTCCGTTCGATACGAGGTGATGGCACAATATGTACCCGACCCGCGCTATCTTTATTTAGGGAGAAGATCACGTTGCCAGGGCTTGGGTTGCATGAGTGCTCGTAGTGGATAGGTAGATGGTGCTAGAATTGTGGGTCATGGACGGGGGAGAGGGTACTTGACACGGTATGTCCTGCTAGCAAGCAAGGTGTCTTCGCTTGAAGGTGGTATAGTGACTCTGGCGTCATTTATGTAGGAATCGATGATTATGAGGATGTTACGAACTGCCTAGGAGAGGGGACTTGTGGATGTAGAAGTGGATGTGTTCCCGTAAGCAAAGCTCGCTTCGTTTGGATTATTGTCTAGTGTCCTGGCGGGCCACGTAGGTACACACAGACACACACACACGGGTTGACTTTATGGCGTTCATGGCATGGTTGAGTTGTCCTGCATGCTCCGTGAAGATATGGGGTGGTGGATGGGAACTGCGAGCCACGTGGGCAGAGAGGATGTCTTGGATAAAACAGCAGTACTACTCAGTAGTAATCTGGATTATAGTCCCGTGTGATAGTAGTGAAAAGAGAACCAAGCCCATAGATATATACGAGTAATAGTACTAGGTATATACTATGGTGTAAGATGAACCAACGTTTATAGATTCAACCCTGCTGTCGAGTCAAGATTAATTGCATCAGGAAGCCCAAGCACCCGACATCTATCAGAATGGAAATTAAGCGGGGATAGCGCCCCTTGCAGGATCAAAAACTCCTGGGTATCTTGACAGGCATTTGGTCCCTTGCACCAACCTTGGCCTGCCTGACTGGTAGCGAGGGGACCCTGAGACGCAGAGTGGATAACAGATCGGGTTAGCGAGTTGGGTGGTCTATTGTCCTTGCCGATGGAGATAGATCATCTTCCGATGCGGAGATGGATAGTATGCTCCTTTATCAGTAGTACCTTACTGACTTTTTTTGCGTCTCAGCGCATGTCCCCGTTCCTTGGCGGAGTCTTCAGGAATGCGCAGTCTCTCTCACAAGAGGTAGAAATGTAGTACCCCTACTAAGTGGTATTTTGGGGTAATATGGTGCTATGATTAGGGAAAATTCAGCCAAGCAATTTCCATGGCAAGTAAAACAGCCGGACGAAGAGATCGACCAGGTATTAACTCTACAAGAAACCAAGTGAGTGTATCTACGTAGTAAGTACTACTACTTAGTAGGACTAGTATTAGAGTATTGATGATACTAGTAACTGCCGAGGGAAGAGACGGTGATTGGCGGGGAAGAGGATGGGTAAAATGTAACACTCCCGGCCATTGGGAGCGGGCCCACTACCACCGTTGCACCCAGTCGCTCCTCGACAAAAAAAAAAATACGGAAAAGAAAAAGGTGTCACATTCCAATTCCCTCTGGCTGCATTAAGCCATCATTGGGAATTCTGAAAGAAGGAAAGCCAAATGCCAGGGAGTCTATCCGATCGTCATCCTCAACCCTGCACATCCCGCTCATCCCGTTTGTCTGTGAGGGGTCACAGTATACCTACATACTCGGTTATGTGACTAGCTGGAAGCGATTGAAATCAATATGATTGATTCCCTGACTGACCAAACTTCTGGATCAATCGGTATAAGGGTTACCGAAACATTGTCCAAACCGTATCCAAATTGACCGACTGAAGACAAAACGAAAGGGTCGATGACCTCTCCCCGATCCATTTTGGATGCAACTCTGTCGCTTGTAAACTTCACCCGGCCCCACTTGGTTCATCTCTTCCATCACGCCGGGTGGTATCTACTAACGACTAACTCTTCCTCTCTTCAGATCGAGTACTGAAGTGGTTTACGGTGTATATGTCAATGTCATTATTGATGGTGCTTCTTGTGTCTCATTGTTTACACTTCTTTTGGTACTAGTAAGGATGAGCTGGCTGCAGTTGAGGTTAAAACCTCCAGTGAGTTATGCTTATTCGTGAGACCCCCCTGAAGAGACTACTGAACTACTAAGTCAATGATTACTAGATCCTGTAACCGTCCGATCTCTGAAGATGATTAGATGATTAGATGATGATGATAATGATAACGCAGGTCGATGGCTATTTGGGAACACTCCTCCGTTTCAAACCTCTCTTCCTCTTTAGATACCTTCCGAGCATCCGAGGTTAGCTCTGCTCGTTCTAGACCAGACATGGATCCAGGTTTCACATAAAACCCAATCTTAGTAGTACTAATTTACGGAGTAGATACTTTAGTTATACTTAATTAGAGGGAGAGAGGTCCTTTTAGCCGGGATGATGGATCAGATAACTGTACCATACCCATGCCTAGCATCCACCCATCTCTCAAGTATTACACAATACACTACCAAACTATCTCAACAGTAAGTAGTATCTGATCCTGTCGACAATAGTAGTTTCATGCATCATCACATCATCCTTAGGGGTTCATGACGGCAGGGTTTTTTTTTTTTTTTTTTTTTTTTTATTTTTTTCTCTATCGGTCGCCATCACTTCCGGGGGAAGTCCGAGTTACCTGCCAGTCGACAAGGTAGCAGTCGATCCTCTGTGAACCAGCACACCAAATTTGATTAGGTAACTAATTGTTGTCTAGTTTTTCACAATGGATTGCTTTCTTTTCTTGAGCGAAGTATCGAGTCATTTGAGTAGTGACGAAGGTAATTGAGTCGCAGGTAAATACGATACGGAACGAACCAGCTGCCAGGAACCATACCAGACAGAGCAGGGAGGAGTGAGTAAGTACGTAGTACCACCCAAAGTAAGTCGCAGTCGGAGTAGTCAGTGAGTTACCACCCTGCGACCTGACCGGCAAACCACTGGAAGGTATCATACCGATGGCCAGCAAATTCATGGATTTCTCTTCCTTTTCTTTTACTTTTTTTTATTTTATTTTATTTTATTTTTTTCTCGCTTTCCTTCACTGATGGATGGGATTACTCTTTATCTTCCCCTCCCCCCTGTTTAAATTGCAGATTCCTCAAGCAAGCCATTCCTGCCTGCGGGAAAGCCAATCCGGACGTGGTTCCTGACGAGGAATGAAACACGCGTTGGTTTCCTTTCCCTTTTCCTTTTCCCACCAAACCCGGTAGTACCGCTATTATTACTACTGCTGCTACTACTAAGTTACTACCGCTACTACCACTACTACTACTATTACTACTATTACAACTACCACCGCTACTCTCCTACTAAGAAATACTTTGCGACTCCAACAACTACAATACATTCGATACCACTCACGACTACTACCTCTACTTTCCCTTCACTCTTCCCATTCCCTTTTCTCTTCTTTTCCCTCCCCCCCTTCTTTCTCTCTTGCTTCCCCCCCTTCAATCAAACCCCATCTACATTCCCTCAAATTAAACGCTACCGTCACTCGGGCTACATCTTTCACCTTCCCTTCCGTGCAACTCGATTCATTTTCTTCCCGCCAGGCACTGGAACGCTCGCTCGTCATTCAACTCCATCCATCCGCTCTCGCCCGCCAGGTTCATCTACCACCTCCTATTACTTACCTCTACTACTATTGTACTACTACGCCTACTACTACTACTCCCTTTGCACAGGCAATCCCCGTCTCAACACCGGTACACTTTCCGCTGCACCTTGTGCAAGGAATCCGTTATCCGGGTGATCTGTGGTACTTCTTAAAGTCTTGCTTTTCTCTCTCGAATTACTTCATCGCCCTGGGGTAGAGACTTGGGTTCTATTCTGCATTTGCATCTCGGATCGGTTTCTGCTTTCCCCTTCCCGCTTCGGTGATTGTCATCATTTGGGTCGGCAAGCCTTGATCTGACTTCCTTTATTATCATCTTGAAGTGGCCTTTGCTCGTATCGATGCTTCTTTGACCGTCTTCAAGTTTCACTTGCCCGTATGAGCCCTTATCTGTGTTAACCATCACTACCCGCTCATACAACTACACCCCCTCATCCCTCATCACCACTAGCTTGGGATTGGGAAACCCTCTCTGGTCGCCTTCTTCCTTACCCAAGAACCCTCTCCCCTTCTCACCATGTCTGCCCCATTGGTCAAGGTCTTGCACCGAATGCAAGAACTCTTTACGAACATAGTTGCCGCCTTGGAGGCTATGCTATTGTTCCCTTCCCTTTTCCGCGACCCCTCCCGTAAGCGGCGGAAGCCTTTCCATGGAGCGTATTGGGGACGTCGCTCCCTTGATGCGTTTGCTGACGAGGTGGATCGTCTGTTCACGGCACCTTTGTCGGTGCAGAACATGGTCGCCATGTCAGACAAGATCCGTGCGCAGTTCAGGTCTTGTCTACAATCCAGCCCCGTCTGCATGCTACCTTCCTACAACCATGCACTGCCCTCCGGAACGGAGACGGGGACGTTCCTCACGCTGGATGTCGGTGGTTCAACGCTGCGGGTAGCACTGGTTGAACTACGTGGTCAGGGAGACATGCGCATCCTTCACGTCTCATCGTCGTACATTGACGAAGAGGTCAAGTTATTGGAGGGCACGCTCTTTTTTGATTGGATGGCGGAGAAGATCGACTCGATGCTACGCGAAGTGGGTGCCAACTATGGACGAGAGGCCGTGCCACTGTCAATGGGATTGTCGTGGTCGTTCCCCATTGAACAAACCTCCAACAGTAGTGGTCTCGTTATTCACATGGGCAAAGGATTTCATTGTTCAAATGGCACCGTTGGGCAAGAGCTGGGTGATCTTATCGTTCAGTCTTGTCGGAAGCGAGACCTCAATGTCCAGGTGGATGGGATTGTGAACGACAGCTCCGCGACCCTCCTCTCACGCGCCTACATCGAGCCCAAGACCCGTATGTCGCTTATCCTAGGGACTGGAACCAATGTGGCCATCCACTTTCCCGTCCATGAGATTGGACTGACCAAGTTCGGTACAAGACCGCCGGGTTGGTTCGACTACGCCAAACACGTTATCGTTAACAGCGAGATGAGCATGTTTGGCGGCAATATTCTCCCCAAGACTCGCTGGGATGAGGTTTTGAACCGGACACACCTTCGGCCCGACTACCAACCTTTGGAGTATATGATTACCGGGCGTTATCTGGGCGAGATTATCCGTCTCATCATTGTTGAAGCGGTCGAATCTGCGAAGCTCTTTGGCGGGGAGTTGCCTCATTCGATGCGCGATGCGTATTCGTTCGATACCAGCATTGTTGCGGCGCTGGAAGCCGATACAACCCCACTTCTCTCGTCGTCTGCGGCGCTTCTGCAAAAGGAACATTCATTCATCGTGTCGCCCTCCGTCGAAGATTTGCGCTTCCTCCGACGTATCTGTCAGATCGTCTCTAAGCGAGCAGCAGGGTATCTGGCTACGGCAATTCACAGTATGTGGTGTCTGCGGAATGAAGCAGAATTTCCCGCGACGGCCCCCTCCGCACCCCCTTCGATAAAGGAAACTCAAGAGGTGACCGTGGTGGAAAGCGAAGAGAATCACCAGAGTCTATCAATTGCATGCGACGGCAGTGTCATCAACAAATATCCTGGGTTCCGGGACCGTTGTCAAGGCTATCTGAATGACCTTGTGAAGGAGACAAACGCATTACGGCAGTCATCGGATCCCACCCCTGAACCTCAGGTGTGCCTGGACCTGGCACCAGAAAGCGCTATTCTGGGAGCGGCCGTCGCAGTGGCCGTCGCAGTTGCGGAGAAGAAGCTCGAGTAGACTACGTTATCAAGCGTTTCCTTGTCTCCCTTGTGTGAACTCCATACCTATCTCTATTTGATTTGTCGGCCTGTCGGCTACATTCGCATTCCGAGGTGTTGTGCGTCAGCTTTGCATTTACTTTGGCCTCCTTTTCACTCATGGGGCTCTGGGTGTCGGGCATTGTCATTTCCATTTTGTTGTTCTATGGGGCTCCTCCTGGGCTACCCGTTTCATGCATTTGTGCTCCCATAAGAGCATTCATTGCTTTTTGCATAGACAGAAAAAGGTTCATCGGTGAGGTGGGGGCGGAGCATTTCTTGACCTTCTGGCGGACTAGACGGTTAGGCATGTGGCCTGAGATAGAAGCAGGGATTGAGCGTGTGTATATAATGTTAATCGTCAATACAAGAGTATCGAGCCACCGGGCGCACTGAGGCCCTAGTGAGGCTGAAGCCGAGTCATGGGTCTTGGGGAGAGAATCCCTGCATCTCACAGCGCGCATCCTTGCCATGGCCCTGCCAACGAAGATGCACAAGATCAAGGGGATCAATCTGCGCAGGTCCCCCAATGGAAAGAGGAAACAAACGCACAATCTAGTCCAAGAACGGACAACAATGGTGAAATATACATTCACTTCTTGCCTTTTCAAGCATCAGTCATATCGTATCATATAAGTGTCACTCCCGACAAAGGTCTTGTAACAACTCCAGCATTCTCAATTGAAGCGCCGATAATTCCTCTCGGGAAAGCTGTTGCTGCTGCTTGACTGCCGGGTTCGTTGTTGTTCTTCCCGGGTTCGAGGGGTCAGAGTCCGAAACAAGACCCTTCTTAATAGTGAAAAAGGGGATCCTAAGTGCCTTGAGCTCCGCTATCATAGCATCGGACATTTGTCGCGAGGCTTTGTATACTTTTGCGTCGTAGTTGGTTAATTCGGCGCGGTCTTCTTCGGCTGTCTGTTTCATCATCACTCATTAGCTGTGTAGGCTTTTGGGGATATCTTTTTTTGTTTTGTTTGTCTGTGGTGGTAATGATTGCTAATCATCACCAGCACTATGATGGATGTTCCTTCGTGGTTTGTTCTTCTTCTTTTGCATCTGTATATCCGTATGGTATGCATGCATGGGAATACATACAGAAACTTGCTTATTCTCATCAACGGGAGCGCCGACGGATCGTCTAATTATCATAATTTTATAAGTGATTAACATAACTCATCTATCTCTTTCCTGGCTGCTTTTATTGTTCTCTATAGATTGAGGACGGGAATAATCAGGGTAATGCAAGACTCACAATACAGCATCCAGCTCCTTCTTCTTCTCCGTCCGGGCGGATTGTTTCTTCAAGAGCGCTTCTCGTCCCTGCCACCATTGTTTCTCGTGGTCGTGTTGTCGTTGGATTAGCCAGCGGATGCGTCGTTGGATGTCTTCGTTTTGGGCGACCGTGCGCATCACATAGCGGAGGGCGCTGGGCCAGCTGGTTATGCTGGAGGTGTCTTCTGCGATGCATCCTGCTGGGGCTGGGGTTGGTGCTGGTCGTGGTTGTGGTTGTGGTTGTGGTGCTGGGGAGGGGTGTTGTTGTTGTTGGTGGTGGTGGTGTTGGGGTCGTGAGATGGGTTTCGGGGGTATGGGGAGCTGGGGGAGGGATTCGGTGGGTTCGTAAGGATCATTGTCTTCTGTTGGTGCTGGCTCTGGGCTGTGGGAGTAAGGAGGGCGTGATTGTGATTGTGGTTGTAGTTGTAGTTGTGCTTGTGGTTGTTGCTGGTTGGATAAGGCGGAGAGAGTTCTGAGGACAGAGCTCAAGTCTGCTGCGTTGTAGTCCATAATGTAATATGCTCATAGAAGTGATGCTAATATTGACATATTCTGTAGCTCGACTATTAAATTAAATCGAAGTAGTGTTAATGTAAAATCTCTCGAATTATTAGACGATGAATATGGAGTAAATCGGAAGCGGAGTTGTAGTAGTAAAGTTAGTGTCCGGCTCGGCCTCGAATCGACGAGGTTGGATTTCTTTCCGCTGAAAATTTCCCCGGCCGGCAATCATTCCAATTCTCCTCCATCTCCGCCTGACCCCGTTGGCTTCAGCTGCTCTCCCCTCCCGGCTCGACGCCCCAATCTCTCTTTTGGATCTGACCCTTCGTCGTCCTATCTAACTAAGCCGACTTAATCCCCTGCGCGCGCAATCCTTCGCCTCTCCCCCGCCCACCGCCGAATGTACCGTTCCGACTGATCCCATCCCGGTCACATCATACCATATTACTACCACCACTACCACCCTCGAGCATCCTCATTCCATAACCCACGCTCCCCCGACTTGATTCAAAATGTCCCGCTCCGCTGCAGACGCGACCCGGTTCACGGCCACCGGACCCTACGCACACTCCAAGCCCGGCTCGGCCAGCGCGGCGGCCCCCTACAAGCTCCCTAGCTCGATGGCCAAGCCCACCTCCCAGCAACAGCAACAGCCGCAGTTAAACGCCAATGGCAGACCGGAGTCCCCCAAGGAAAAGGTTGAGCGGTTGAGGGCCCAGGCCCGCGCTGCCCGGTTAGCTCAGTCAACATCGCGGGTGGATCAGATGATTGAGGTAGGACGTCGGTTTGCGAACAAGGCGCATAAGACGATGGTGTACACGCTGATTGCTGCATCTGGTATGTTCATCATTACAAGGAAGTGACGACGGAAATTGACTACACATACGTGTGGCCGCCGCGAGGATATAAACCATTGACTAACGCGTTTCGGGAATGAAATCAGGTGTCTGCGGAGCTCTAACAGTCTACTCCGTCATCTCTTTAACGCTATACAACCGTCGGCAGCGGGCTCTGTGGGTGGAGAAGGAGATGCAGAGACTGCAGGATGCGAAGACGGCGTATGCTGCCGGTACGGCTAACACGGAGCAATTGGAGCTGCTCAAGAATGAGAAGATCGGGGAGATCTTCCAGCAGAAGAAGGAGGAGGCGAAGGCGCAGCGGCCCTGGAATCAGGTCAAGAACTTCTTCTTTGGTGGTTTGAAGCAGGATGAGAAGGCTGCTGCTGATAGCAGCAGCTCTATCCCCGATAGTGTCTTGGAGGGCGGCAGCAAGTCCGCAGTGCTGGAGGCGCTGAACGCTAAGGCTGCGGAGGACGCGGCTAAGTCTGCTCCTGCCGCTGCTGCTCCTAAGGGCCCGCTGGATGCGTTGGCTGAGAATGCGGAAGATGCTGCGAAGCAGTCGACGCGAAGCTGGAAGAGCTGGTTTACTGGACGGTAAGGAATGAAGAAATATCTGGTATATGGAACGGATGTATGACATACAGAGAGGAGGGAGGTGGGTTGGTGTGCGAGGATGGAAAACAAGGAATTTCTCGGAGATGACGCCTATCACATTTACTTATGCTGCTTTTCTGGTTTGCATGGCATCGTCTTTTATTCTTCCCCCTGTTTTTCCACATTCTGGGGTTGCGGCGTCTATGCGGGTTGTATTCTTTTTTTGTCTATCTTCATTTCTTTCTAGCTGTATTCTTATCTTGCTGTTGTTCGTTTCCCTCAACCTGTGTATTACTGGGTGAGAGTTCTTGTCTTTACTCTTGTGTACATATACATATCTACTATTCTCTCTCTCTCTCTCGTATATCTCTCGCCGTCTCTTGATTAGGAAAGTGCTTTCGATGGCTCGAGGCCACATAAATGGAGAGGGTCAATCAAGCAAAGATGGATCTGTACAAGCAATCAGATATTGTCGTACTCATCGTTCTATTATTGATTCATCACTGTCTACCGTAGACAGAACCTAGGTGAACAGATACAGGCCAAAAGAATTACAAAACCTGTAGAGAAAAAAGAAAGAAAAAGCAGTCAAGACTTTTACTGGAACAAAGACCGAAAATGCTGCCCGCACAGGCAGAGGCTGCCTGTCCAACACACCCATAACTCAGGAACTCGTGCCCGCAAAGACAGATAATGAAACCAAAATGAGGTAAAATAAAGCACCCTGGCTATGGTATCTAGATCGGATTATTCGGAACAAAAGGAAAAGGGAATCACACTCGCTGGGGGGTTTCGTAAACGCAGATCATCCATCCTCAATCGCTCAGTGAGTGCCATTGCTGGCCTTGGCTTGAGCGGCTTTGGCGGCGCGTCTGGCACGAACACCATCAGCGAGGTCCTCCAGGACCTGGACGGTGGTCTCCCAGTCAATGCAGGCGTCAGTGATGCTGACACCCTTGCGCAGGCCGGAAGGACCCTCGGGGGGAACCTTCTGGTTACCCTCGTTGATGTTGGACTCAATCATGACACCAATGATGGCATCCTGGCCCTCACGGAGCTGGTCAGAGACCTCCTTGGCGACCAGAGGCTGGTTGCGGTGGTTCTTGTTGGAGTTGCCGTGCGAGCAGTCGACCATGACGACCTCGGGCTGCTTCTTGCCCGCCAGGGCCTCGCGGGCGGCCTTGATGCTCTCACGGTCGTAGTTGGTGCCCTTGTTACCTCCACGGAGGATGACGAAGCCGTGCTCATTACCAGCGGTCTTGGTAATGGCAGCCAGACCTTGCTTGGTGACACCCAGGAAGCGGTGGGGGTGAGCAGCGGCACCAATGGCATCAATGGCAACGGTGAGGTTGCCGTCGGTACCGTTCTTGAAGCCAATGGGGAAACTGAGACCGGAGGCGAGCTCACGGTGCAATTGCGACTCGGTGGTACGGGCACCAATGGCACCGAGAGAGATCAGATCGGCCAAGTACTGAGGGGAGATGGTATCCAGCATCTCACTGGCAATGGGCATGCCCATGCTGGTAAGATCAGCGTAGAGCTGACGTGACACACGGAGACCTTTGTTGATGTTGTAGGACTCATCAATGTCGGGGTCGTTGATCAGACCCTTCCACCCCACTGTGGTGCGGGGCTTCTCGAGGTAGGCACGCATAATAACACAGAGGTCGTCGGAAAGCTTCTCGGAGAGCTCCTTCAGACGCTGGGCATATTCGAGGGCCGTGGCAGGGTCGTGGATCGAGCAAGGACCGACAACAACCAGCAGACGGTCATCGCGCTTCTCGATGATCTTCATGGCCTGATTGCGGCCAGAACGGACGGCCTCGAGGGATTCCTTTTTCTATTTACGCATTCTGTTAGCACCAATGGTCTGAACCCTCGGCATTGACGATGAAAGTAACTCAGAAAACGATCGGATTAAGCCGCCAACCAGCACATGAAAGGGAAAAGCTTGAGAAAAATGACAGAGGGAAAAAAGAATGGGGGACGGTATGACTCACACCAGGGATCTCATTCTGGAGGTACTGAGGGGGAAGGAGGGGATCATATCCCAGGACTAATTGGAATAACAGATCAGTATAGGCTCATCGGGCATTTGAATTGGGTATTATATACTGACCGCGAGTGTCCTCGTTGACTTCTGTGGTGCTGATCAAAGGCATGGTGGAGGGGGGCAATTGGATGTGTGGGAGGGTGATGTATGAGGGGAAAGGAAGAAAGAGGAAGAGTGGTGGAAGAGGACAACAATGCAGCCTTTATAAGAGGTCTAGAAGGGTCAGGAAGTGTGCAATGGAGATGAGTCAAAGAGGGAGGAGACGGCCGAAGCGAAATCGGGGGCCAGAGAGCGAGCGAGCAAGGCACAAGCGAGAAAAGGAAAAAAAGCGAAGGGGAAATGGAGCAAATGAGAGAAGATGGAAATGGCATGAAGAGACAGAAAGTGTGGGCCGCGGGAGCGCGGACCAGCCGATGATTCACACACTTGCAAAACTTAAGGTTGGTTGGCTGCAACCTGCCGGTGGCGGTATCAGTACCGTATTTACCATGTCACCATCCATCCTCCATCTCTCTCTCTCTTGATTCGACTCTATCCAACTCTCCTTCGACTCTCTCTATCTTACCTTCCATCAGCTCGTAGTCTAGATGCTGCTTCATTTGACCCGCTCTTCAAGAGGTTAATCATCCTTCCCCCCACCCCACCACCACCACCACCCATTCTTCATACACCCACGGGTGTCTTCCCCCTCCCACCATGGCCCAGAACACTGCCTTCTTCGAGTCTGATGTGATCAATGCATCAAAGCCTCATGGTGTGTGATACTGCATGATTCAATCACACTCAGCTTATCCCATCTTTTCACACAATCTCGACTTCAAAGGCCATTCATGGTACAAATAAAGTTCCCGCTTTAGGTTGTGTCAACTCTACCCCCCGGCGTCTTATCGAAAACGATAGCCCACCGTTTCCAGATCGGTCACTCCATGACTTAATGCCAAAGCACATCATGATTCGGATTACTCCGATTTCCCCGTCTTCAACGTGGTCTCTTAACCACTGGATGCCATTGTTCTAAGGCCCTGTCCCGGATATCTTACGTCAATCAGCCTGTGACTCAAGGGCGTAGACAATCAAGGCTCGAGCTGTTGCAGTGAAAGAGAGAGCGACTAAAGTCGGCCAGTCTAGCGTAGCTTCGCATTCGGAGTTCTAGATGTTCGACTGCATCTTGATCACATAATATGGATAAGTTTATTCATCCTAATGCATGAGATCATCCGATAAACGATGACGGCCCATGAGTACGACGCCTGTGCGATAAGCTTCGTATTTCTCAAGTCATCTTATCGCGTACTCCGTGCGGAGAATTAAGTCGCCTTAGGGGGGATGTGAGATTGGCGGCTATGCATGCAGGGTCATATGTACTCCATAGTAACACCGCTTATCGATTGAGCCCGCTTCGTATAGGGTGAGGACCTCGTCGACTCTGCTGGGCAGTTCGATCACTGTCAGCCAAGCAACGAGTAAGCAATGCGCGTAGCCATGCATGCGGCTTATTCTGTCTTCGACTGAGCCTCGCATATTATCTGCTTTGATTGGATACACCCAGTCACACGGTACTAGGATGGCGGGACATACTGCATATCGCTCATGTAGCTTTCAACAAGCACCATCTCTGCGAGAACTGCCCCTGCTCCTAGCTGATTATAGTGTTAGGCTTGCTGGCCCCATGGGGCATACTTGGAGCGAGTATCCCCACGAAGGGGAAATTGGAAGGCCAGTGACTCGCCCACCTTGTATGGTAACAAGCCCCTGTACGTACCCCATGTTGAGCTAGACGTAAAACAGAGTGGCCCTGGGCGGCAGTTCCCGTGTGGACCTGGGGAATTGACCGTTAGACCGTAGATCTACTCGATCTAATCAATTTGCATTCTTGATCCCTCCACTGGAGAACCACTACCACGGCTTGAGGGGAAGGGCTCCGATCTCAGTGGACTCTGACTGGACCTATGGTCGAGCTTGCAGAGGAAAATAGCGAGTCAGAAAAGTCCTGTGGGTCTTCAGGAACGCTTCAGCTCGATGTTAAGAACTTAGAATGATCAAGAAGTGTTGGTAGCCAGTCGTAAAAATCGTGTTGGGGGGAGTTGAGGCATCCTGAGCCGGAATAGCGTTTTAGACCGGCTCGCGTGTAATCGCTTTGCCGCCCGCTCACCGAGTCGGGGGAAGAACGCTTCCCCAGCACGGCCGACCCCCAGCCCCTTCAATCCCCACAGAATTCCCCTTACTGGCTTTCCTGCATGCAGCTTGCTGTCGCTGCCTTAAAAACCAAAATACACACTAAGATGATTAAGGTGCTTTCCGTGGCCCACTGTCTCCAGAATTGCTGTGGCGGAAAATCAGCTAAGAGGCTCGTATCAAAACCTGTATCTGGTATGGTTTCAGCACTTACCAACTCTCAAGAATTATTATGCCCGTTTCAAACCATTCTCCCATAAACCTCTCTCACCAGAACTCCACTTACGAACTTGGAAAGAGAAACAATTGGAATCACCAGCGTCAAGGAAATCGGTCCGATACAAAACTCAAAGCATGCATTTCCTATTTTACCATCCACATCCTTCAAGGTAGAACCTCCTCGCCTTTCCAATCCCAACAGCGGCCCCGCCCATCGGAGTCACCGGTCTGCATACCACATAGGTGCTGTAATAGCTTCACTGCGGATTCTTCTGGCTGCAGCATGTGTCTGCCATCCCAGTAATCTTTCGTGAAATCAGTCTGGACTGTCCCGGGATGCAGCGCCACCGCAAAGGCTCGGTCTCTGCTCCGTGACCGCAAATACAGATCGAAAGTTTTGGTCAGCTGAAAGACGGAGGCTTTGCTAGCACGGTATGAATACCAGCCCCCTGTTGCATTGTCCGATATGGACCCAACTCGCGCGGCCATCATCGCGTAGATAGCATGCGATGGAAGCTTCCACGGGCGTTGTACATGTGCAGATGGAGAATCATCCGCAAAGGTTGCCGATGTCTTTGTTGGCAAAAAGGGTGCCAAGTGCTTCATCAGAAGCATAGGACCAAGAGCATTGACTTGGAAACTGTGCAGAGCGTTGGCCGCATCGATCTGTGTCGGAGACTTCTCCACGTGCAGAACGCCAGGTACGGTGATTGCAATACGCAGGGAAGCCTGTGGAATCTCTTCTCGTATCTGCGCGGCCATGGCGTGTATGGTCGCCTCATCTAAAACATTGTTCAGGACCAGAAGGTATGAGGGGATGATGCTACTCAGTACCAGTCACGTCAACTTCAAAGACTCTGAGCCGCTCCTCCGCCTTTCCAGTTCCATCATTGAGTTGCTTCAGTAAGCTTTTACGGAGTTGTGCGGTATCTCTCCGCGCAGTCGCAAGGACGGGGAGGTCCGTGTTGGACAGCAGCTGTCGCGCAAAGGCGAATCCCAGTCCTTTCGAAGCCGGGGTCACGAGGGCGAACCCACTTTTTGCAGGTGACATTTGAATAGCACGATTTGGATCGCATCCAGTGGGAACTGAGCTACCAATACAAGAGAGATTGAATCCCCACGGAGGAATATGTTGAAGGTTGAAGCCTAGATCTCCGTGACGTCATGCACATGGCTGCTACTCTGAACAGAGTATGTAGTGTTAGTTCGATGGCTCTCCGGTGGATGGGAAGACAGTATCAGGCTGTGCCAGATGGCTTCGGTGGATATACTTCTGCTCGCAGAGTAGACCGTCATTGTTTGTCCGAGAGTAAGCTGGCGTGTATTTTTGGTCGGAGACGGCATCAGTTGCAGGGAAGGGCTAGCTTCTATACGGACTACTAAGCCTACTGAGTTTAGAGTCATCTTACATTAATAGCTCATGATTCCACGAGAATAAAACTAAAAAGCAATTGAATTGGTATACATACCCTCCGTCATAAAGTAGTACTTATCTGAGTATGTCATTCAATGCATGCTTAGCACTCCACTACATAGTGCTTGTCTTCGCGTCACCAAAGAAAGGAAAGGTTGTTTCCGTTGCACCAGAAAGAATGTACTCCCAAGGTACCTGATACATCCGCGGCGGTATTAATCAGTAGTAATCGGAGTGAACCCGTAACAAGATACGGTACCAGCCGTACGGCGCTAAACCCCGGCTGGACTTTGAGCGATAAGTCCCGGTCTTTGCTGTGATGATCCATCCACGTTCCAGCTCGGATTTCTTTGATTCTCCAACTAGTTTGACTCCCTGCATGCTTTGTACCAGTCATTCAGCGTGCTTCCTAGCTATGGCCTGTCGTCTTATTACTTACTAGTTTGCTTTAGTATATTACTTGCTTCCTCATTGGAGCCCCTATCTCATACGCGTGTTGCTTTCCACATTCCTACGGAGTATATTCATCAGAATCAATGTGACGTTGACCCTGGATCGAATCACACCCACCGCAATACTCTGTTCAACCTCAACTCCACATCTTGGTCTCCGCCGCTCTCTTTGTCCGGCCTGGCGCCCAAAGCGTCATGTACGCATTTTCCACCAAGCGCCAGAGAGACCAGGAGCAAGAGGACTTCGATGGAAATGTGTTCCGAGAGACAAAGGTCCGTGTGAAGTTGAGATTGAAGGACCCTTGCTATTCCCGTCCCGCAGCTAATGATAGTCTACAGAAACACAGGTCTCTCCCTCTCCGCGCGTCCCCAAGTATCCTCCAGTTTTCTTCCCTCCCACAAAGCAACCGGCTTGCATCTGGATTCGGTTTCTCAACTCTGACCCCGGTGGAATCCTCAGACGATGACAAGGAGGATAATGGCGCTGACAAATTTGCCCATCATGGTTCGACACAAACTCGGGATCAGCCAGCACCATTAGAGCAAGGGTCTATTCCTATAATGAGCGCAAGCATGGATATTGATAATGAAAAGGACGCACCATATTCGACCAATAATCTTGATCATTCCAACCCGGGGTCTGTCGATGGATATAGCAATTACAGTCTCCAGCCGTCGCCGATCCCACATAGTCTTGTTGACCAGTCGCTGGTTATAAGTGAAGAGTCGACTACACATTCTACGGAAGGGAACACTCCTGCCGCAAGGAGTTCCGTCGTAAGAGAAATTGTGCAAAGCTCTACATCAAATACGTCACAGGGTGTCCCTAGAGGTCCGTACGCGAGCCATGACAGGGTCTGGTGGTGCGGTCAACGCCTCCCCAGTCCGGTCAGTGACAATGGCGACGCCATGGCAATCAGCAGCAAGGACTCTGTGAGCGACGCTGATATGACATACATGTCCCAACCAGCGTCTCCACCACCGTGGTATTCAGAAACTACGCCAGATTTGTCACAACCGGCGGGTTCGATAGGCAACCCGACACGAGAGCATCATCTCCCCTCTTCCTCGAAGAAGAAGAAAGTGGCGCTTTCCATGGGCTACCGAGCGGATTGCGACAAATGTCGGCGCAGGGTTCCAGGTCATTACAGTCACATCATCCGTCACTGATACACTTATCCCCTTTCTGTTCTATTTATGTTTGTGTTTGCTTTCTTTGTTCTGCTTGACTTTTATCACTTGATGAGTTCATGATACCAGGCGCTATGGAAGGGTATGCACAGGGAAAAGCGGCTGGGTTGTTTATACTATGATACCAACGGTTTTCGGAATTGTGGGGCTTTATTGGCATTGGCATGACTTGCTTTGTAGATGGGACCAGTTGGGAAAGAGCACTGGTTCGAATGTATCGGAAGAATCAAAGCTTATCATTCGATCATGCACATTGTTGTCTTTTCCCAAAGCCCTGGGAAGTATTTGACGGCAAACACCTCTCCAAATAACGATTCCTAAGTTCTTTATAAGCGAAAGAGTCCGGGCACTTCAGACTAGTTCCTTAATAGTGTTTTCCGACATGCTGTTCCGATCGAGCTGACATAAGCGTCCGCATCCGATGGCGGAAAAGCAGGTGACCGGCACCGGATGTCTTCGTCGGACGTCGATCCGATAGAGATGACGAGAGAGCTTTGTTCATATTGGACATGGGACAGTAGTCGAGAGTCGACAGGATATATTCACCTCTGAAGATTGATATTGTAAGGCTGTTATCCGGGCACACATCCATAATCAGCATCTCAAGCACAAGACGGGGAACCCCCAGACCGGGACTGCCGACGACTCCACATTTTCCCTAATTTGCCTTCGCCCAGAGACCCCAGCGGCAGTGCGCTTAGCCGATCTTCATTGCCGGTAGTTCGAAGCCAGCGTGCAACTGGCTCAGTCCGCACGCGAGCCATCCCGAGCCCCGGAATCCCTTCGGGTGGTTATATTTCGATATAAGTATGTTGCCGGGCCCCGGTTTTCAACCGGGGCGAAGCGAAAGTCGAGATTCTCTCCTTCCAATCCTCCCCGTCTTCTTGCTTGATTTAGCAGTTGAATATCCGTCATAATGGCCTCTCCAATCCCCCGGGGCCTGCGCCAGGTCCTCCAGAAATCTCCCTCGGACATTGTCATTCTCTCTTCCCTCCGTACCCCGGTCACCCGTGCGAAGAAGGGCGGCTTCAAGGACGCCTATCCCGAAGAGCTGCTCGCTCACGTCCTCCGGGCTACTTTGGAGGCGAACCCGAACCTCGACCCTGCTCTCATTGACGATGTCGCCATCGGTTCCGTTCTCCAGGAACTCGGCGGTGCGAAGGCTGGCCGTATGGCTCAAATCCACGCCGGCTTCCCCCACAGCGTGCCTTTCCACACGATCAACAGACAGTGCTCCTCCGGTCTGGCTGCTATCTCCACTATCGGAAACGGAATCCGCTCCGGAGCGATTAACGTCGGTATCGGTGGTGGAATGGAGTCCATGACCAGAAACTATGGCTCCCGCGCCATCCCCACGGTTCTCTGGCCCGAGCTGAAGGAGTCTCACTCCCAGGACGCCCGTGACTGCATTATGCCCATGGGTATCACCTCCGAGAACGTTGCTTCGCGCTACGGCATCTCCCGTGCCGACCAGGACGCGTTCGCTGCCGAGTCCCACAAGAAGGCTACTGCCGCCCAGAACGCCGGTCTGTTCGACAAGGAAATCATCCCCGTCAAGACCCTCTCCTATGACCCCGAGAACCCCGATGCTCCTCCCAAGGAGATTACCGTGACCAAGGACGACGGTGTCCGCCCCAACATCTCGGTTGAGAAGATGGCTAGCCTGAAGCCCGCTTTCTCTCCCACCGGTGCTAGTACCGCTGGAAACAGCTCCCAGGTCAGCGACGGTGCGGCTGCCGCTCTGCTCATGCGCCGCTCTACTGCTACCGAGCTCGGCCTGACCTCTCAGATCCAGGGCCGCTGGGTTGGCACTGCCGTTGCGGGCTGTGCTCCCGACGAGATGGGTGTCGGCCCTGCCGTTGCTATCCCCAAGCTCCTTCAGCAGCTTGACATGACCGTCTCAGATGTTAACGTCTGGGAAATCAACGAGGCTTTCGCCTCCCAGGCCCTGTACTCTATCCGCAAGCTGGGTATTGACGAGGCCAAGGTGAACCCTAAGGGTGGTGCCATCGCTATCGGTCACCCTCTTGGTGCCACCGGTGCCAGACAGCTTGCCACTCTGCTGCCTGAGTTGGAGCGTACCGGCCAGGAAGTCGGTGTTGTGAGCATGTGCATTGGCACTGGTATGGGCATGGCTGGCATGTTCGTCCGGGAGTAAAGGATAAGCAAAACAAAAAAAGGCAGAAAGAAAATTCGGGGCGTTTCCTTCTTGTACAGGTTATAGCGACTTTAGTTATTATGATATTAGCGTAGAGACGCATGTAAATACATACACGCACAATACTATTTATACCCTGTATGAAGACCTACACCTTCCGAACCATTTTCATCAAGTAAAGTTCAATCCCACAAAACATACTATTACTAGTATTGATGACATCTTAAGCGATAAGGAGCTTAACAGATCCAACAATGTCGGGAAGGGTTATTGATTCAACGATTCAAATTGAGATAGTGATGTTAGACTTGCGAAGGGATGACAGGGACGTTTATAGGGTGCAGATGTAGAAACAATGTAGATCTGAGAGTCCATTTCCCCTCCTCAACAGCACTCTGTACTACATAGATTGAGATATCCAACCCTATACCGTGAAACTATACTAATAAGTCCCGACCGCCAAGCCCCCATCCATGCACGCCTTCCTCACGTGACCTCCCCGGCCGGAACCTCACCACCGCGAAACTTTTCGATCCCCCATCACCTCCGTCCGGGCACCGCCAGCAAAACCCGCAACCCACCCCAATTGCACAGCACCATGCGACCGTCCATGCGATTGCTGAGCCTTGATGTTCAGGGCGCCTCGCGGACCCTGTACGTCTGCTCAGTATGCAGAAACGAGGCGCGGCCGCGGCCAATTGTCGCCCGGCAATTCCTTCGCCATGCTTCGAACACACCGGACTCGCTGAGTGAGCGAGTGAGACGCAAGCTTTGGGGTACGGATAACCCGCCTGGTTTAAAGGATCCGTATGGAGAGAGTTTGCTTGAGAAGAGGTTCGGGAAGGCCAAGGCTCAGCCTGAGGGCGAGACGGAGGTGGTGACTGCGGAGGAGGCAGCACCTGAGGCTGAAGCTGAAGCTGTCGATCAGCTGGAGCCGGGGGTTGATTATGAGCCTGCGACGACATGGGAGGGGTTGGAGCGTGTGGGTCATTTGGGAGGATGGAAGAATGCTCCTCGGGCTGAGGTTGATCGGGTTGCGGCGTAAGTTGTTCTCCTTATGGTCATGGCAATGGAGGTTTGGAGCTGTTTTGGCTAATTAGTTTGTCTCGATGGATAGATTCGGTCTTAAGAAGAAACTCCGCAAACAGGGTCCCCTGTCTGTTGCTGCGCATCAGGCCGCTGTTGAGATCTGTCTGATGCATGCGCTGAACAAGCCATTGACGAGCGTCTGCAATGTCGCCGAACATGACAAGGCCGTTTTCAAGATGATCTGGAAGACTAAGATCGTGCCTGGTGAGGCTGGCAGCTGGGGCAGCGCGCTCCAGTACCACAGTAAGCAGGCTAAGGAGGCCCTCGTTTACATCTTCGAGCAGATCGGTGGTAGTCAGCCGGAGGCTGTGGAGCAACAGCAGGCTGCTGAGGAGACTGCCGAGGTTGAGGAGTTCGAGGAGGCCGCTTGGGAGGGTGAGGAAGAGGAGGTTCCTAAGGTTCCTTTCTTCGGATACCAGGATGCTCGTGATAAGGGATTCTTGACTTTGTCTTTGGAGGACCCCGAGACGAAGTTTGCTGTTAGTTTCCCCCCGTAACCATTCCAGCTGGATTGATTTGCTGTGCAGATAGTGGCTGACCTTTCTTTGTCCAACAGTTCCTCAAGAGATTCTCCCAGCTGAGCGGCCACTTCTTCCCCGACAACATCGTCCACCAGATCTCCACCGTCAAACAGGCCGTCGACTACGTCCAGGGCCAATTGAACCCCAAGCCCAAGAAGCTGGCTGAAATCCTCGAGAACAACGACCGGCTCCAGTCCCTGCCCAACATCAAGGTCTTCTCGAAGAGACAGACCCGCTTGCACCGCGA